AGCCCCCCCAGCCCCCCCTTTTTTTTTCTGCTCCTCCAGCCGCCCCGCTTGCTGCCGCAAGTCCAAGTCCTCCACCGCAAAGGAGCCCACGTACTGGGGGGGGCAAAAACCCACCCGTGTCAGCAACAATCCCCCCATGATGCTGCAGTTGCCCCCCCTGGGGCAAACGGACCACCCTGAGATGATGGTTTGGGGGGTCACAGGGATGCACCCGCACCCAAACCTCATCTCGGGGTCCCCCCTTGGGGGTAAATCACCTCCGCCGGCTTGGCGATGCCCCGGGCTCGCTGCTGGGGGGCCGCAGGATCCGGCCCCCTCCCGTTGGCCGGCTTCTTCCTCATGGCAGCCAGGTTTCGGGGCGAAGGCTGGATCAGGATGGGGTTAAGCGGCTCCGGTGCCGCATCCGAATTATTCGGAGCCACCCAGGGTGGCGGGGAGCCCGGACCTGGCCCCTGGTGACGGTCCCTGCGAGGAGGAAGGGGACAGACACAACCTGCCCCCACCGTCCCCCGTTTCCAGCCCGCTGAGCCCCGGGGAGGTCCCCGTACGGTGGTCCCCAAGTCCTGACCCCAGTGCAGATGTCCCCAAGTGCTGGCCCCGAAGCAGGGGTCCCTCCATACCGACCCCAATAAAAGAGTATGGTCCCCCAGTCCCGACGCGAAGGTCCCTGCATCCCAAACCCAATGCAAAGGTCCCCACGTCCCCACCCTGAGCATCCTGCAAGGGTCCCCATGTCACAGCCCCCATGCAAGGGTCCCCCTGTGACCCCAAGTGCCATGCAAGGGTCTCCACAGCCTGACCCCGACCCCAATGCGAAGGTCCCCGTGTCCCGACCCCCGTTCAAGGGTCCCAGCATCCTGACTCCAAGCACGATGCAAGGGTCCCCGTGTCCTGCCCCCAAGCACCACGCGAGGGTCCCACGTCCCCGCCCCGAGCAGGATGCAGGTAGTCCCCACGTCCTGACCCCGAGCGTGATGTGAGGGTCCCCAAATCCGGACCCCAAATGCGATGCATGCGGTCCCCACATCTCAGCCCCAAATGAAACCCAAGCGCCCCCACGTCCTGATCCCCAGCAAGATGCAAGCGGTCCCCACGCCCCGAGCACACAATCCGGACCCCAAGCGAGGTGCATGCAGTCCCACACCCCAAACCCCAGCGAGATTTTGGGGTTCCCCCATCCTGCCCCCCCCAGTGCTCCGTCCCACTCCCTGCCGGCCACGCAGCACCGAGACCCCCACGGCTGTCCTTCAGGGGCGATCCCCAAAACACCAACGACGGGAACAGCAGGTTTGGGGGTGCTTTTTCGGCCAGAGCACCCACCGAGGGGTGCGCCTGGCCCCTCTCCAGCCACCCAAAGGGGTTTCGCCCTCCGCAGCCCTCGGCCGGGCTGAGACCGGCGCAACTCGTGTCACCGAGGCCACGCTGCAGCCGCCTGGGTGCAAACACATAGGAAGGGGGGGGTCCGGCTGCTCCAAGCGCATCCTAATGGGGTGGGGGGGTCCCTATAGTGTCCCCATCCCCTTTGCAAGCTTAGGGCTGCTCCTCTCTTTTCTGGCACAATTTGGGGGGTCTCCC